GGGGGGGAGGAGGCAGGGGTGCAGAGGCCCTGGGAGGGGAAGGAGGCAGGGGTGCAGAGGCCCTGGGTGGGGGGAGGCAGGGGTGCAGCGGCCCTGGGAGGGGACAGAGTCTTGTGAGCTGCAGGGGTGGGGGTGCGCCTGGAGGCAGAGGCAGGAGTGGGGTGTGGGAAGCCCACCCCTGTGGATGCCGGGCTTCGCGCTCCTGGGCTGAGGCTCCGTTCCCGGGGGTTCCCGTCAGAGCGAGTCCTGGCTGGGCTGTCCGCCCTGCGCCTCCCTCTTCTGGTCCCCACCCTGTCCTCTGGTCCCTCCCAGGACGCCCTGGGCTCTGCACACTTGGGCCATGAATTGGGGCTCCTCCTGTTCAGGACTCACTCGTGGTGAGGCTTCGTTTCCTGAGACTGGGGGTTGTCATTTTCCACGGGGACGGGCTTCCAGGGAGAGATGCGTCCTCTCCTCGTGGCTGGGGGAGGAGGCCTGCCTTGCGGCAGGGGTGCAGCCGTGGTGGGGACAGAGAGAGGGCCGGGATCAGCGTTTGCAGGGGAGAGTGCCGGGAGAGGTGCAGGGAGGTGGCCTGCTTAGAGACGGCGGCGTGAGCTGGGTCCGGCCGGCCGATGGGATGCAGGGCCCCGGCCTCTGGCTGGGGGAGCATGCCCGCCGGGGAGGCCTCTGGTCATTCCCCGGAGCAGGGGCGTGTGGGAAAGAGCTGGTGAGTGGCTGGTGCCTGAGGGTTTCTGGTAGCTGTTGGCACCCATACATTTGCTTCTCCTTTACTGTTTTTGTTTTGGGGCCAGTGGGCGCGGGAGAACAGTGATCCCGGGGTCAGTGTCAGTGTGACACGGTGACACGGGCGTTTCTTACAGTCAGACGTACGTGGACACCGACGCCCTGCGCAGCCCTGACGAGGTGATGCCTCGCTGCGGCCCCGGCGGTGAGGTCCCGGTGCTCACAGGTTAGGGGTTGCGGGTGGACAGCGGTGCTCCCTGCGGGCCTCAGAAGAGGAGCTCTTTCCTTCCTCAGCCCCCGCCTTGTCGTGAGCCCCCCCTTGTCGTGAGCATTTCCTCTACTTAAAAATTGGTGAAAACGGTAGGAGGGGGTTGGCGTGTTTGGTCTGCGTGGAGTTTGATTACGTTGAGAGCAGCCATTCCGGCAGCACGCGCTCCCTGAGACCCCGTGTGCTCCCCGCAGGGCTGTCGTTGATGGACAGCCGTATGGACGTGACGGCCACCCCGGCACTCCTGGCTCTCGCAGCACACTGAGCGCGCCGGCTGCGAACCCCGGGACCCCCTGGCTCGCCCTGGGTCCTCACCCCCAGCCCCCCGACCCTCGTCCCCGGGCTCTGTCCTTGGGACCCCTCCCCTCTGGCACGCGGGATGGGGCCACGTCCGTGCTGATGCCCTGGGCCAGCCACAGTCTGGGGCACCGGCCACGGTGGTGGCGTTGGTTTTGGGGGGCGATGAGGGCCGGGTGCAGGCCCAGCCTGTTGCCCCCACCTCGGTGTGACCCAGAGAGTGGGGAGACCGCTGGGGACGCCGTGCGGGACGCTGTGCCCTCGGTGGAACTGAGCCTGATGTGCCGTGAGTGCGTCCCCTCCAGGTGCTCCCCAGCCTCGAGGACGCAGGGCCGACCCCCCCCCAGCAGCCCTGTGGGCGGTGACGCAGCTGAGGACTCCGAGGCGCGGACTGCAGAGCCTTGTCCGGCCGGGAGGGGGCGGGACCCCAGCCCCTGCTGCTGACTCCCCGGCTTCTCCCTGGAAGGGGCCTTGGTGGGAGCGGGCTGCGTTCCTCGGACTCCGGGGCTCAGGGCGTAGCTGTGGTCACGGGCACGAGCCGCAGGCAGGGCCGGCCGTCGGGGCAGGGACACGTCCCGGGGCGGCTGTCCTTTGTGCCGGGGTCATCCGTGGGGAAAAGCCCAAGTGGGCTCTGTTCTGACGTATTTTAAGCGCAGACAGTGTGCATTAAGGAGGTTTGTGCACCGAAGTTTAAAGAGCCGTGAACACTAGTGAGGCGTGTGCTGGAGAGAAGAGTCGAGCTAAGTGGGAGGAGCGTGTGGCTGCGTGATGTGTCCCAGCTCCTCCGGGAGGGACCCCGGCAGACAGGCCACAGCTGTCGCCACCGGGAAGGGTACCTTGTTAGGGCCGGGCCTCCAGCGCCTCCCGTGGGAGGAGAATGCGTGCAGAGATCACACCGCATAGACCGCTTTGCTCCGAAGCCTGAGCACCCGTGTGGCTCCCGTGGGCTCTGCCACTCGGGAGCGTCTCTCTGCAGCTGAGAGAGCAGCACATGTGTCCTCATGTCTGTGGACAGAACGCTGAGTAGCCGGAAACGCTGGTCCACTCACCTCTCAGATGGCTAAAAATACCAGTTTCCTTCTTTCCCTCGCTTCCTCCCGCAGCTGTGGCATCCATTGTCCCTCTTCCTGCGGATGCGCCCTCTTTCCCGTCCCCCTCGGTGCCTGCGGGTCTGGGCGCACCAGGAGGGGCCGGGCCAGCCCTGTTGGGACCAGCCTGGCGTTTCCCCGTCTAAGCAGCGCCAGCGACGGGCTCCCCGCCCTCGATGGCCTCACGTACGTGCAGCGGGTCAGTGCTGGCCTGGCCGCGGGAGATTCGCAGGCTCGCGTACGGGACGCGTCAGCGTCGGAGGGAGAAGGCTCGTCCCTCCTCGTGCCCCGGTGGCCTGTGCGCCCCCTCACCGCTGCCCCCGGTGTCCGGGCCAGCCAGTCACGTGGAGCGTGTGCGCCGGGCTGTGGCCTGCAGACCCCCCCTCGGGGCCTCAACCGCGGTGGGCGCTGGAGGGACATCTGTTGACATGTTGTGGCGGGCGTGGCGTACACGTTAGCGTCTCGGTGCCTGTGTCCCTGTCCCTGTAGAGCAGGTCACCGCAGGCCTGAGGCCGCTGCAGCTTCTCGGCGAGACGTGCTTCTCCTGCGTTACCGTCCCCAGTGACCGCTGTGGCCCACGCGTGTCTGTCCGAGTTGTCTGGAAACCAGGGTCCGGTTTCTGGCACCACTGAGGCTGTGTGGCATCCGTCTCTGGAGAGGGCCGGGGGTGGACGTGGTCACACAGAGGACAGACAGTAGCGTCGCTGGACCACCGCCTGCTGCCGTTCCCCGAGTGGCCCCGCATGCTGGGCCCTGTGTGACTCGCAGCAGCCGCCGAGGCCGGTACTGTCCCCCCGTTCCAGGTGACACGGACGCCCCAGGGCTCCCGGTGGCCCGCAGGAGAGCAGGGAGCAGAGATCACAGCCCCTGCGCGTGCGTCTGTGTCTGGGCTGGGTCTCCCTAGGGGTGGGTTCCCGTGGGGCCCCCGAGCCTTGGTTTCTTCATTTTGAAAATAGGAAAGGAGCGCATTTCCGGGAGGCGTGGTCTGTCCAAGTGCACAGCAAGGAGACGCTAAGTGAGAGTGGCAGGTGCGTGGCCCATGTGGGCCCTTGTAGGGGCCACACCGGGGGTGTGGCCCATGCAGGGCTGGCATTTGGCCAGTGCGTGGCTGGGCCGGCAGGGTGCTGCTGCCCCATGGTACCCCGCCAACGCCCACACGAGCAGTACCTTCTGCCACGTGGGTTGACAGTGGGCAGGGTGGGCTGCATCCTGGTTTTTCCAGTATGTTGCGCGCTGTGGGCTGATGGCGGCCAGGACACTGTCACCTTCGTCACCATCCCTTGCTGCACTGGACCCTGGACATTTGCTTCTCACCGGATCATTCTCGTGGGAGCTGGGCAGGCGTCCGATGCTGTAAACCCTCATAAACAGGAGCCGGGGACTGACCTCCTCATGATTTGACTGGTTCCACGCTGATTCTCAGACTTGGGTTTTCAGACTGGTCGCACGTAGGGGAACAGGACCCGCAAAGACAGGAAGAAATAAAACCCGGTGTGCGGAGATGTGGCCCAGACCCAAGGGTTTAGGGCCTGAGGGCTGAGGAGATGGGAGCCCGGCCCTCCGTCCCTGCAGGGAGGTCTTCACTCGGAGCTGCCAGGGAGGGAACAGGAGGGAAGACATGTGCGGGGCCGGGAGGGGACGTCCCCGAAGCGCGGTGCACACGCAGCTCCTGGCGGGACCCGGGGGCATCAGGCCGCTGGGACTGTGCTCTCCGAGCTTCGGCATGGTTTCCGGGGACGCTGGGCCTCTTGGGGGCGGTGCTAGTCCGTGGTTGCTGCCGTGGATGACAGCTGGCCTGGCCTGGAGACCCCCGGAGCCCAGGCGGCCTCTGCCTGCGGTGACCTGCGGTGACCGTGGTGTCTTTCCTTCCCCAGGGCTCCGAGGAGTGAGCGTCCCAGCTGCAAGATGGACCAGCCAGAGCCGCCTGCCCCCGCGCCCGAAGGTAACAGGGTGTCCTTCAGGGGCGCGTTCCTACTTGGGGGATCTCTCAGGGACCTGAGAGGGGAGGGTCTGACCACAGGTACCGACAAGGTGGAGCTCAGGGCCCCCCAGCCCTGGGCACCCCCGCGGGGCAAGGGCCAGAATGGCCTCCTGGGAAGGCACCCCTGCAAGCACTGCATGGCCTCCTGGGAGGGCTCCCTCGTGGACACCGCGTGGCCCCCTGGGAGGGCGCCCCGGAGGGCACGCCCCAGCACAGCCTCCCGGGAGCTCTGCCTGCAGGGACTCCTCAGAGCCCAGCCTGGAAGGGGACAAGGAAGGGAGACCAGTCCCTCGCCCTCGCTGCCCCCGGTACCAGCAGGGCCGGCTGTGGGCACTTTCCTTATCTGCCTCCCAGCACCGCTGTGAGGACCGTGAGGGGGGGCACAAACTTAACATTTCCCTGCCTGTCCCGTCTCCAAGGTGTGGCGTGGGGGACTTGGTATCACTCCCGCTCGCAGGCCAGGGCCTCCCCCTGGGCTCCCCGTTGCCAGAAGCTTCCCCGTATGTGCCCCCGTGGATGGAGCCACGTGTCTCCTGCACACCTAGAGGCTGTAGGGCCTGAGGGGCAGAAACCTGAGCACTGAAGCCACGGGAGTCTGGGAGGGGGCGGTACTCAGGTGTCCGTGTGTGTCGGGGGGGTGGCACTTAGGTGACCACCGTGTGTTGGGGATGGACTTAGGTGTCCATCATGTGTGTGGGGGGTGACACTTAGGTACTTAGGTGTCTGTGTGTGTGGGGTGTGGCACTCAGGTGTCCACCATGTGTCAGGGGGTGGGACTTAGGTGTCCACGTGTGTTGGGGTGGCACTCAGGTGACCACCATGTGTCGCAGGGGGCACTTAGGCTCCTCCAGGCTGGATTGTACTTGATCGTCATAATTGGGAAGGTCCCAGAACTCACTGCATCCTTCCCTACATGCCTAGCTGTCACCCACCATACCTGGCCAGGAGTGTCTCTGAGCTGGCACACCCAGTGTGCTTCAGGGAGCCCGTGGGCTGCTGTCCGTGGGACGGTCCCTGGATCCTGCATTGGTGTGATAGGGCCTTGGTAGTGACATTGCACGGATCTGCAGGAACGCCCATCCACCCACAGGCTTCACCCGAAGCTAGACGCACGTCTGCACTTGGTCTGGGACAGGAGAGGGGCCCGGCCACGTGGCTGGGGTTTGACGGCTGTGCTGAAGGGCAGGGGCCGTGGGACCTAGGAGCCTGAGTCACGGCCCGAAGCCCAGAGCAGCAGGCGGCCGCCGGCAGGCTCTGAGGCTTTGGCGGGCGGGAGCACATCTGAGCCATGGTGAGCCGCGATGCGACGGGGACAGCATCTCCTGGGAACGTGCTCAGGGGCGGCTTGGACGTGTGCTCCCCACAGAGATAGGGAGGGCGTGGTGCTTGGGTGTGGGGTGCACAGGAGCTGGCCCGAGTTTGGCGGGTATCTCAGAGCGTCCTCGGTGTGCTCCTGAAACGTGCACGTGCTGTATTTGTCACTGCCGTCTCAGTAGAGAAGGGGAGGAGGGCCCGGCACAAGCCGGGCCGAGGGCTGCCGAGGGCACCGGGCAGAGCCGCCCGTCTCCGCAAGCCCACGCCCACCCTGTTCTCTGCTTTCAGAGTCACGAGCAGGCTGACCGGCGAGGCCTGGCATCGTGGGGACGCACAGGTCCGGTGAGGCCGTCTGAGCTGGGAACTGAGCCTGCGTGGCAGGGAGGTGGCACGCATCCCCCCGTGGACCCTCATCCTCGGTCCCCTGGAAGGTCTCCTCCTGCAGCTCCGGGCATGCGGCCAGCCGTCCTCGGGTGGGGAGAATGTCCCCATTTCTGTGTGTGGATGGCGTCCTCCTGCCAGGTAGCCTGTGGGGGTGCCTTTTGGCCTTGCTGTGGCCTTATGGCCGCTGTTGGAAAAAGAGCGCACAGTCCCCGAGCGGAGATGCCAACGCCATCACGCGTTTGTAGGGGATTGACTGACCCTCAGTGATGGCCACAGTGGCCTGGTGTCTCTTTTTGGTGAATCAGTGACATTTTAATTTCAATTTGCCCATCATTAAACTGTCCACTCTCAGGTGCCCATGACCACAGGGCAGGGGCGGGGAGGACCGGGTCCACCCTTGCAGGCAGCATGTGGCACGATCCGTGCCTGCTCCCTGTCACGGGTCCACCGGTCTTCATGGTCGCAGACAGCAAATGCACGTTTTCCACCATTCGAGAGGCAGGGCCGTGTGGCTGAGTGGCCATGCTGGACAGGGGTGTCGAGTGTTGACCCGCAGAGTGTGAGCAGGAACGTGGCCTCTCTAGGCCTCAGTGGCCTCAGTGTGAGATTGTGCGAGGTCTGAACCAGTCAGCACCATGACTGCACCTCGCGGGTCCGTTTAGAAGACAGATGCTGTGGGGCCTGGGACTCCCATCAGGAGACACCCCAGGGTAGGTCAGATGCAGAACTCCATGGATTCGTGGTGTGAGTCACAGCACTGGCCCCCGCATGATTAGTAGGGAAGTTTTAGGACGCGCGTGGCCGTGTGGATGCTGACTTGGTGACAGCTGGGTCGCAAGTGCCGGGTACTGTGCTCCGGCAGAGCTGGTGGGGGCGGGCCTGCGCGGGGGTCATTGTTCCAGGACACCGCTGTCCTCAGGCAGCCGCAGCCCCAGTGACGTGTGGAGCCAAGCGGAGGCTGAGGACGACGGTGGCCATGAACCACCTCTGGTTTAGAGGCTGCTCACAAAGTACTTTTCTTTTTCTCCTTTTCTATTAATAAAAAAGTGAGACACAAGTAGCCTTTGTTAGAAAAGAGAGAAGCACCTTACCTTGGATTAAGCTTATGGGTTATTAAGGGGTTTTATAGGCTGCTGTGTGTGACACTGTAATGGTGGCCACACGTCATGGTGCCTTTGTCCAAGCCCACGCGGTACACGTCACAGGATGGAAACTGTAGACTGGGTGACGACGGCCTGTCCGTGAGGGCCTGCCACTTGTCACAGGTCCCCTCTTGCCCACTTCCCCTCCTGAAGCCTGAACAAGAACTACCTTCTTCCTTTACAGGGGGAGCCTGTGTTTTATGTCCCATGGAGCCAGACCCTGTCAGGCTGTGTTACTTAAAGTTCTTTTTAATGTTTTGGTTTTTTTTTAAATTTTTTAATGTTTTGGTTTTTTTTTTAATTTTGAGAGAGAGAGAGAGAGAGAGTGTGAGTTCAGAGAGAGAGGGAGACACAGAATCTGAAACAGGCTCCAGGCTCTGAGCTGTCAGCACAGAGCCCGATGCAGAGCTCGAACCCACAAACTGTGAGATCATGACCTGAGCTGAAGTCGGACGCTTAACCAACTGAGCCATCCAGGTGCCCCTTTAATGTTTATTTTTGAGAGAGAGAGAGAGAGAGAGAGAGAGAGACAAAGACAAAACATAAGCAGAGGAGGGGCAGAGAGGGAGACACAGAATCCGAAACAGGCTCCAGGCTCCTAGCTGTCAGCACAGAGCCCAATTCAGGGCTCAAACTTCTGAACTGTGAGATCATGACCTGAGCCAAAGTTGGACGCTTAACTGACTGACCCCCCAGGCACCCCAGGTTTTGGTTTTTGAAGCAGTGTTTATAAAAGTCACTTTTGGGTGTATTTTATCTAATTCTTAAGTTGGGCAGTGATCAACTGTAATTTCCCAGAGGAGGGTTGACGACAGGAGAGCACGCAGGTGATTGAATCCCTGCTGCCCCGAGTGGAACATGTGGGCGGCATGACCTCGATCTGTCACATCACCAGGCCACAACGTGAGCTTTCCCTCTGGCCACTTTGGGTGTTTGAGTCATATTATTTCCCTGTCACGTTGACCCGGCAAACATGAATCTAGACACGGGAAGAGTTTTATTTTGAAAACGTCCTGTTTTGGTTTTTCTGTTGAAGAGATTGTTGTAGGATGTGTCCCCAGTTATTTTTGTGAGTAAGCTGACGGACTCCCTAACGGTAAAGCCAAGAACCTAGAACATGCTGACTTCCCTGTTGTTCATCCCAAGGCCCGACTTAGTGGGAGAGCGTGCCAGTTGCGTGACTGAGCTGAGGACACAGGCGCTGTCCACTTCCACATCCAGTCTGTGTCTGTTGCTTTTTCTTGTGACACTGTCCTCACTTGTGGGAAGTGTGAGTTGTGTGTCTGTGTTTATTAAATATGAAGCTCGAAGGACTAACCTGCTCCAGGAACTTAGACTGAGTGGATATGTGTTCCGAAACCAAACAGCCGTGAGGCGTACAGGAAACGTATGTGTTGTAGAAAGTTTGCAAAATATAGGAACTCACTGGTACTCAGAAAGTACCAGTCGTTGCAGACGCCACAGTTTGGGTCTGTGTGTGAAAGGGATGAAATTATCAAATGAACGGTTTTTTTATTATTTCCTTTATTGTGGTAAAACATACATAACATTTACCATTGTGACCATTTTTTAAGTGCCCCCTCAGGAGCGTGAAGTTCATTCACACTGTTGTGCAACCATCACTATCCTCCGCCTCCAGAACTTTCCTTCTTTCCAGACTGAAGCTCTGTCCACATTAGACACTGACCCCATTCCTTTCCCAGCCCCCGGCATCCACCATTCCATCTTCTATGGGTGCTGTCACACGGTGTCTGTCCCATGGTGATGGGCTCACTTCATTCCGCAGAAGGTCCCCCGCGTCCATCCGTGTGGTGGCAGGTGGCAGAATTTGTCCTTTCTAGGACTGAACACACCCTATCGTATGTGTCGACCACAGTTCATCTGTTTGTTCATCAGTCTGTAGACTCTTGGCTTGTTTCTGTTTCTTGGCTGTTGTCACGTGTAAATTGGGGTGAAATTGCCCCAGCATGTTGCTTACGGCCACGACAGTCTCGTTCCCCCTGGGTCCTCATGAAGGGGCTCCTCCCTCCTGCCGTGACGGCAGGGATGGAGCCTGACCTCTCTGGTAAGCTGTTTCTTTCAAAACACCTGTTAGAACATACTGGTGATTCCAAAGATTGAAGGGAAAATGAACACCTGGTATTTAAGACCATTGTTTCTGGACCATCAAAGGTTCAACTGGACCCACAGGGTCTCAGCGGGAAAGTCAGTTTCTCGACTGGCTCAGGTAGACCATCTCTGTCAGCTTCCCTCCCTAGAAACTACTCTACCTCTAAAAGCCCAATACTAACTGTCCCACCCCCTAGCACCCCCCAGCCCCCCTCCCCCCACCCCCATCCCTTGCCCAGCCTCTCCCAGGCCCCACGGCGAACTAGGCTCAAGGGCGCTATTTCCATCACCTCTCCACCCCGTGGCTGGCCTCCCAGCCTGTGTCTTCGCGCCTCTGGCTCTGAGATGACTGGTTCAGACCCCATGTCCCCACACTTAGGCCTGTGTGACGGCTGTTTGGCTGGCGTGTTGGGGTGGAGGCTTTAGGAAGGGACCCTGCCCCAAGGCCTGGGAGCCTGTCTTAGCAGATCCCTCTGCCGCCTGATGGGACCAGAGCTTGGTGTTTATGGGGACACCGGATGCCGGTCTCCCCCAGGGCCGGTGTCCAAAACCCACCCAGCAGCACTCTAGTTTGCCTGCAAAGTGAGCAGTTTGGGCTGCATCTTGGGGTCATTTCTCCCTCTCCGTAGTGGTCTCCCACTCGTTCCTTCCTAAGGGAACTGCCTTGGACACTCCAGGGTTCTGGGTCCCCATCCTGGGAGAGGGTTCCCATGTGAGGATGCAGGTCCCCGTCCTGGGAGAGGGTCCCCATGACTGATTTCCTGTGATCTGCGTGAGAACCAGATGCCAGCAGACCCTCTAGGTACAGAGGAGTGAGTTGTGCACCAGTGGAGAAGGCCATCACGTTTGGGAGTTTTCTGTGTTCTGACTTTCGGCCCCAGCATTGGGGTTCTGTGAAGCAGAAGAGGCTCCCTCCCCCTGTGCTGTCCCCCTGAATGTCCTGTCCCCTGCCCCAGCTCCATAGCCTAGGTATTGTCACCTGGGTGCTGTGACATCTCATGGGATGATGGATGACGTCTGTGGGTCCGAGCACCCTCTATCCTACCCCAAACACATCCTCACTTGGAGATGTGTGCAGGACCGGGTCCATGGGGTGGGCCTGGCCTGGGCAGGGCTTGTGAGGGCCCTTACGTTTGGGTGGCAAGTACATTGTGGGTGATTGGCGTGGACAGAACCGAGTGGGGCTGAGGTCCCATGGGGCTTGGGCAGAATCCAGTAGTGTTTTAGTTGAATTTTGTACCGTGGGCTCCCTTCTTTGGTGTGTTTCCTTTCGCTTATCCTCTCTCGGTACCTTGGCCGCCGCACAATCCCTGACACTGAACGCGAGTGCTTCTGTCTGCTCACCCGGTGACTGAGTCTGTGTTCTTGTCACCTGTAGAAAATGAGGTGAAACACGACACCAACAATAACGAAGAGGACGATGGAGAGCAGTTTGATTTTGACAGTGGAGACGAGATTCCAGAGGCAGATCGGCCAGCTGCAGGCGGCCAGGCCGGTGGTGCCAGTGGTGCAGGCGTGGACACCAAGTCGGGCCCAGGTGAGTCCCCAGGCCGCCCTCAGCTCGTCCTGACTGCGGGTGAGTGACGTGGCGAGAAGTTGGCGTCCCAGAGCGGGGCATGAGCTCTAATGGCCCATTTAAGTCTGGCCGAGCTCCTTTCGTCTCCAGCATTTCCCGTGGGCTTCAGGCCGCTCAGCTGCCCCTGTTGGCTTCTCGGAGGGAGTTGGTATCGTCCATACCCAATGACAATGGCCTCAGCGCCATGTCACTGCGTGACAGGCAACGTTTTTGAAATTTATGCTCTTTGAGATGCGTGGAGTCTGTGTTGGGTCCTGGCTTCCCGCACGGTCAGCGGTTCACCTCGTTGTGTCAGCTTCTACCTGACACATATCAGTGGAGAAGCCACCCTGGGAGCCACCAGGCCCAGGGTGTCCCACGCTGACAGGTGCTCCACTCCAAACCCCCAGATCTGGGTATCTCCTGGGCACTCTGGTGGTGCGTGCCCTGGGGAGAGGGGACTCCACTTCTCCTCGCCTCCTCAATGCCACATGTGTTTACTGCCAGGAGGCGAACTCGGGAGGGGAATGGATGCTGACGTCCCTGCAGAAGGCACGACGCCCGAGGTCCCGACAAGGGTGAACCCCTACTCTGTCATCGACATCACGCCCTTGCAGGAGGAACAGCCCCCGCCCGCAGACCCAGATGTGGAGGAGGAGGGCGCCAGCCCGCCAGTGCCCAGCGGGTACTCGGTGCCCGTGCCTTGCGGCTATGCCGTGCCCTGCAACCTGCCGCTGCTCATGCCCGCCTACTCCAGCCCCGTCGTCGTCCGCACCGCATCCCTGGACGAGGCAGGTAGGGGCCTCCTCCTCTCTGTGCACCGCAGGCCGGAACTGCCTGCCGACAGCGAGTCCTGTGGCCCTCCGTGTTCTGGCAGGGCCACCACAGCCGACCCGGTCACCTTCCCCCGGCTCCGCCCGCAGGCACCTGCCAGCTGCTGCGGGTCCGCGTGCGCGAGGGCACCGGGACGCTCCAGCTGGCACCCCGGGAGCAGAGTGCAGCCTGCTCAGTTCCAAGGGGAGCCCGCAGAGGCAGCCCAGCCTGGCGTTTCTTCTCTTGCCGAAATCTGGGTGTGCACCCTGTCCCAGGACGCAGCCCAGGGACTGTCCCAGGGGTACGGGCTCTCAGGGACGCAAGGCCTCTCAGATACAGAATCCTAGCTTGTGCGAGATTTCAGTAAACTGGGGCTTTTCTTTCCAGTTGTGACAGTTGAGAGGGGAAAAAAAAAATCTTCGCTCGGGCCCCCTCAGGGCCGCGGTCAGCGTCCATGTCCTCACTTGGGCTCCCTCAGGGCCGTGGTCAGCGTGCGCGTTCTCGCTCGGGCCCCCTCAGGGCCGCGGTCAGCGTGCGCGTTCTCGCTCGGGCTCCCTCAGGGCCGCGGTCGGCGTCCATATCCTCACTTGGGCTCCCTCAGGGCCGTGGTCAGCGTGCGCGTTCTCGCTCGGGCCCCCTCAGGGCCGCGGTCGGCGTGCGCGTTCTCGCTCGGGC